AATAGCTGGAGAACGACTAAATTTTGTTTGGTGAAGCTTTCAAAACATCATCTTACATCACTTTTGCATGCATGTGGAGAAGACAACACTTGGCCTTGTTCGCTGTAGAATAACCAGGAGAAAGACAGAGGGATAATTGTATTGATATTTCGGCAACATGGCCCTATCGAAGAGAAAAAGAGAAGCAAATTCAAAATTTGGGAATTTGAATTCACGACTCATTTTCATTTCGGTAAATACACGCTGCCGAGTCATTAAAACTGTCCCTGCTTAAAGCTGTCTCTTCTTCCCTGTTTATTCTAAGAAGAATTAGGGCTAACAGCACTGCCTTGTCTAGACGTATAACGTTCTTCGCAAGAGCGCTTAACAACTCTCTTTTACTTTGAAGTTTGTAAACCAGGTCGTGTTAGGTCAGTGATTTCAAGCAGTTTTGGTCGAAGACTTTCAGAGCAAAACGTCGATGAACTCGAGGAAATCCGACGGTGCAATGTGATCGTGGATTGTCCTAGAGGCTCGTGCTGGCCTTACCTAAGACCCTCTTACAAACAAAAGTTGGCTAAGTCCAATAGCAATAACAAAGTCGAGAACACCTAAGAAGTACCACAAGCTCCTCACGATGTGAATCTTTGTCGAGAACTGTACTCTTCTTGATAAAATCCTGGTCACGTGTTCCCTGGAAGAAAAAGCGCAGTTCTCAACATAGCCAGGTGTGGGCAGAACCGCTGGAGGGGAAGAAGGCTGAGGGAGCCCCCCCCCCTCCCTCCCACAAGTTCGTCAAAACGTTTCCTTGTGCTCTCAATTTTCGCCTCCGAGGGTGACCTCGACAGTTTTTGCTACAAACACTATTTCAGGCCACAATGTTCCCCCTAATTCGTTTGTCATTTTGCCGCCAATCATCGATCTATGGATTGCATGCGCCCCCTGCACGCCACTTGGTTAGGCACGCTGGTGAATCCCTCCGCTCTATTTGGGGCTTGCAAATGTTTTTTCGAAGAAAATTATCCCACAACCAAAATAAAGTTATCCATTTTATTAAAATTAGTTATTAGATTAACTGTTGAGTTATAAATGAATTGATTTAATGAAATTTCCATCGTAGGTGTTTCATGTGCTTCCTGGAAATGTCGAGATGGGTAGGACATTTTCATTTCATAAATCTCTTCTTTGGAAGTGTGTCATTGTTGTTATCATCAGGGATTACGACGCTCTCAGCTGCTAAATCCATATGGCGTTGCCTGTCTCACCCTGGCAGGAATAGCGAGGAATCGAGCCAGTTACCCCCGGTTTCCCAGACGCAAAGGCCGACCACTGCGATGCTGAATCCCTTGAAGGCTGTCACCAAATGGCTGACCAAAAATGTTACTTTTGTCACCGATTGAAAACTGACTGACTGACGCCGGCAGTGGTTAAGATTTTTACGGCCTGAATCACTGCGATATTTTCAGTTCATTTGCTCCCATTTTTGAGGCTTGTCCACCAAGTGCCTGGTAAAAGGTCTCGTTCTTTATCACCGGCTTCGCCTGGGAAAGCGGAAGGATTCTTCGAGCCTGAAAGCGCGGTTCTATGCGTGCAGCTCGCCACGCACAGTCGAGCGCATGCCATTGATCACTCTATGTTGTGGCATTTTTAGACTTTCAGACACGACGACCGCGGCAGATAAATACGCGATCACTTTCCCCCTCCCTGCATGACTCTAGAGGAAGCATTACCTACGATCCTTTAAAACGAATCAAAGATTGGACCAAAAAACACCTCAGGCGCAGCGGCTCACGGTCATTAAAAAGGTAACTTGACCATTGTACAGATAGCTAGTGGTGTCCGGTAATATAAGCCTACATTCTTGCACCATCCACATATGGATAATTTGTAACCCTCACGTTTGTTGCTCTCGCCACCCTCAAACGTCCAACATTCAACAAGCTTCTCCCATGTCTCGCATCTGAACACTGCCCCCGTACTGACACTTCCATGAATGTCGCATCTAGGTCACCGGAGGGAGGCGCACGAAGAAGCTCGTGTCTCAAATGTCTCATTATTTTTCTGCTAATTGCCTTTGCAGGTCATGTCTGACGTCCAGAAAAAATGTCGCAAGTGGGGGTCATTACCTGAAAGCAATGCGTAGGCTTGGAGCTAATCAGGGCGACAAGATCACAGTGACAAAACAGTCAACGCAGCCGTAGCTTGTGCGCATGTACGCATACCCATATGCTGGCTTTTTATATGCATGTATTGGTAAGTCATGATTTAGTGGAATCAGAAAAAATAAACTTTATTCGCTACCCTTGATCAACCTCACCTAGAGATCAACAAGTGGGCATATCACGTTGTTAATAACATCTTGGATCGCAAAGCATCTGAAAATCACGAATTTTGGGAAGTTCACTTTTTAGCGGCACCGCTAGCAGTTACGCGGATTGGTACTTTCACTACGTGGCATCAAGCGGGCAATGCACACCTACCTCTTAGGCTTTGGAGCCATGGCATCACGTCTACAAATGCCTAGGTCTAAGGTAAGCTCAGGTCAGCGTCAGGTAACCGAATTGGATCTCATTTGCTGCTCTTTAATTTTACATGCTTTATGGAAGTCATTGATGTGGCAATGTGTCATTGACACCCACTGATTTATCACCGATGGCCGTCACGGGCCATGCTAGTTACGTATCTGTAAGCTGACCTCGCTTGATGATCATATATGGTGTCATGTGGCGTGACTGACCCTGATTGGTAGATAGCCAAACCTGTTCACGAATTGCATTTTTTCGACCAAAAACAAGGAATGCAAATTACTTTCTGCAAATTGCTGGAGGTGGAGACAAACATTGTCATGCATGTCTACTGCTGGCGGTGTCACAGCTTATTAAAGTGAACCAACATCGGAATGTTTAGATGTCAGAATGATTGGAAGGAATCGCTTTTAAGTAAAGCAATTTGATTACCCATCTACTACACATAGCACCATATTTCCAAAAAATTTAAAAACAACAGTAAAATACTTCCGAGCACCCAAAGGTACTTTACTTTTAACACATCCAGATGGTTGTAGATTAACCCTCGTGGTTGCCGCCACTGTAGTGAATTCGCCGGTTTTCCGATGACATCCAAAAAGGTCGAGGTCAGATTATGAAGGAATTCACGTCCTAAAGGTTTGAGATATTTTTGTGCCTCATCTAAATCCTGCAGCTTGCCGCCCGTCAAGATTGGTGATATATATATATATATATATATATATATATATATATATATATATATATATATATATATATATATATATGACCTTGGGCTCGTAGAGCACGCGCACCCATTTTGACTTTAATATTCGGCAGACGTTGTCGAGGCCTCCGAAATTGCCACAAATTTGTCAGTACATTACACTGGGAAATCTCATCTGTTTATCGAAAGAATGTGGGGAGAATGAAGCCTAAACACCGCTATTTGGGAGTCTGGTATGGGTGCAACGACTTCAGAGCCTAACCCATGCGTATCCACAGCGCCAGCAGCTGCAAAGCACATATGCTGTTTTTGGAGCTGGCCAGTCACTCAACTGGTGCTGACCTCAACGCTAGTACTCAAGGAAGTTTGAGAGGGCTGCCCCACCTCAAGTACCGCCGGCTTATCGTTTTTGTCATGTGCAATTCTTGCCTTGTGTGAAAGGCTAATACATTTGCCTGAAGCCTTGGCCACCAAAGATAAAAATATGTCAGCATTACCAAAAAATGAAAATGCGAAGTATTTTGTCATGTTTCACTACAAAGTTGTAGTTGGTGCATATACCCTGTTTTAGGGCTTCTAGCATGGTTAACCAACATTTACATTTGTTCCCTTCAGTAATAAAAGTCATGGGCATTAGCAAAGTGCACTTCCTATGCCGTTCAGGTTTTCGTATACCTTCCTGCATGACCTAATGCAGATTCTGTGGTGGAGGAAAGTGCGAATTCTACTATTCCCTTTAAAGTTCAGTCATGCGTCATGAATGTGGCGTTACAGAATACTTTGGACGTTTGGATGGACCGCGTGTAAGCCTTTCGCGACCAACCTGTTGGGAGAAATGTCAAAAGGTGCGGAGAAGCTGGACGCATGCGCGCGGTTTATGTGACTGCCACAGTCAACTTTAGATGTTCCGCAAAGCTGTCCAATGTACTGCCCTAAATCCGACTGACTCCGACAAACGCTTGTTTAGTGTCGGAATTTGCTTAGGCCTAAGCAAAACTGGAATCCGGAAGCTTAATTTATAAATATGAATAAGCTGGTTCGACGGGACATACTGCGCTGAGCACTTTGCAATCGAGCAATTCAGAAACCAAAATGTTACACGCATTATTTATTAGCGTATACATTGAAGAACACCACGGTGATTTTTTTGCGATGGCTAACGACGCACCTATAAACATTCAAGGCGACACCATGCATACACATCCTATAGAACTAAAGCCATCCAACATTCACATCTCAACATGGGATACAAGGGTAATGAACGTAAAAACTATGAAGTCATTACCACAGCTTTACATCTGTTATCATGAAATATACAAGGACAGTCCTTTATCAGATTCGCCCAACTTGCGACCATGTGTTCACCAAAGGTGCGACCATGTATGGTGAGAAATGGTAAGTCTGTATTTAAGAATGTAGACAAACACCGGATCAGCAGACTCCATCAACGTTGGCACGCCTGCATTCGCCGTGTTTTTTTTCTCCTAGGATCCGCTATATGATTCCTGGGTTCTTTTGAAAGGACCGTATCGCAGAGGATCTTTTTACAAGAATGGCCTTTGTTAGTGATTCCCCTAGACTATGGGAGCAGTCTGGAAATTAGTTACTGACCTTTTGCCAGATTGAAGAACCCAAGTCTCATTTATGCGATCTTCCCTCTTCTCAAGCATTCAGAGAAGCAATTATTTTGGTGTAAAGATTCATCTTTTTACGACGGTCCTCTTTACGTCTGGTCTTTGCAGCAGTGAAGTCTCTCCGCGTTGGCGAGCTTCGTTCGACAAAACTGTCGTCTAGCACCCACCCGTGCAGTGATTGTAGGCCAGGTGCTCAGATAGTCGTCCCTACGGCGGCCGAGACATGAATCACGCTCACACGGAGCGTGTTCCCTGTTCCGCGGACTGGACGAATTCCCTGCGACCAGCGCGGTCGCCAGCACACTGCCTTGACGAACATTTGCTTGTACTCTTCCTTCATTTTTGGGCAGAGCAGAGCCAGGGCCCAGCCATCCGTCATCATGCTGATTAGTCGTAAGAAGGTGGTGACTTGGTGCACGGCTGGTATGTGCGCCAGCTCCAGAGCCTGAATCAAGTTCACTACCGAGTTTGGAACAATGAATAGTAAGAACATCAAAGACAAGATGGCGATGGCGAAGTAACCCTGATGTCTGTACAGCTGTTTACTTGTCTGGCCCCTCACAGTTGCCTGTTCTTGTGTGATTCGCCTCCTCTGATGCAAGCCGATGCACCCGACATACGCGTTGGTGCATAAGCTAGACAGATAGATTAAGATGACAAAGAAGGACATGGCTATGCGAAACAACGGTGGAATGCACTGCCAGTGGTCGCAGAGGTCTATCGCGCCGACTCCCAGCCAGCCGCGAAGCGTCATGCCTAAGACCGAGATGAGCGCAGCGGCGAGCCAGGAGGCGGCGACCAGCAGCAGTTGCCGCCGATCCGTAACGATGTCGAAGTAGCGCAGGCCGTGGACGACCGTGACGTACCTCTCCAGACTCAGCATCAGGAACGAGACGACCGTGGACGTGCCGATCGAAGACCTGAGGAACACGAGTACCAGGCAGACCCATCCGGGCGGCAGCGCGTGCAGCAGCCGCAGTGAGCCCAGCAAGGTCGAGATGGCGCCCACGGTCATCTCGGCGGCGGCCATGCTGGCCAGCAGCTGGTACATGCACGCCTCGCGGAGCTGCCGCCGCCGGAGAATGGCCACAACGGGCACTGCCGAGCTGCTGAACACGATGAAGCCGATGATGGCCTCTGCTGCGGCGGACATCGTGCCGAGCCGAGGAGCGGCGGACGAGTGGCGCTTGCCCGGTGTCGGCTAGTTAACTGGCCGCTGGGGGCCGTTCCGTCGCTGGGGCAACGCGACGTCGATCCATTCGCATCCGACGCACACCCTTCAGGATGCTCCCACCTGTCCCGCACGTCAACGTCCGTCTAGTTACAATTAGCAGCTGAACAAAGCTCGCGCTTTGCAGAACGTCAACGGGAAGGCTCTGGGGTTTGAAGTTGGCATAGGGGCAAGTCGGACATGCTACATGTGAACAGTACAATGACTCCGAACCGTGTTCCTCCATACAAGACGACAGTGGAGGTCAACGGGAAGGCTCTGGGGTTTAAAGTCGGCATAGGGGCAAGTCGGACGACCATCAGCGAGGTCACGTGGCGGACGGAGTTGGAGAGTGTTCCGCTGGAGTCGGGCCAGGTGTCACTGACCATATACACGGGAGGTGCGGCGCTGGTGCGCGGCCGACTGACAGCGCGCGTGAAGTGTGGCGCGCAGCAGTCCACGCTGACCCTGCTCGTGGTCCACGGCGACGGGCCCCACTCCCCGGCCGGGACTGGCTTGCACAGCTGCGGCTTGCACACAGCTGTGGACACAGCTTGCACAGTATGGGAAAGCATCTTCAACATGGCATCGCCGCTGGCCGACCTGCAGCAGCAATACGGTGCGCTGTTCTAGGACGACGGAGGCGCCTGCACGCGAACGGTCAGTCTGGACATTGACCCATCGGTCACACCGAAGTTTTGCAAGCCTCGGCCCGTGCCCCTGGCTCTGCTGCCGCTCGCAAATGCGGAACTGGATAAGCAAGTCGAGCGGGGCATTCTACGACCGGTAAATACCTCGGATTGGCGGCGCCCGTGGTCAGCGTTCTGAAAAGTGACAAAAGCTCAGTAAGAATATGTGGGAGCTACGACCTGACGGTTACCAAAGCCTCCCGAGTGGAGCAATATCCAGTACCGAGAATCGATGAGCTCCTCGCAAAGCTAGCGGGAGGTCAGAAGTTTACCGGACTGGACCTCAAAGAGGCATATCTGCTGGTGCCTCCAGACGAGGCAAGCCAGTGCTACACCGTGATAAACACCCATCGGAGCCTCATGGCCGCTGCTCGGCTCGCGTACGGCATTTCGCCTGCTCCGGCGGCGTTCCAGCGCATGATGGAGCAGCTGCTGGCCGGCCTGTCACACGTTGCCGTCTTCCTGGATGACGCTTGCATCACGGGCCGGAACGATGAAGAGCACCGCCACAATGTCGAAGCGGTGCTGAAGCGTCTCTCAGATGCTGGTCTGCTGCCGAACCCGAGCAAGTGTGAGTGGATAACTAAAGAAGTAGAATACTTGGGCTATAGGGTCGACTGCAACGGCATCCATCCCACAGCCGCAAAAGTGCGGGCAATCGTGGCGGCGCTACAGCCTGCTGACTTCAAGCAGCTAAAGGCATATCTCGGACTGCTCACGTATTACTCCAAGTTCATGGACAGACTGGCCACCGTGGCGGCGCCGCTCTATCGGCTGCTGAGGGCAGGCCAACGATGGGGCTGGGGACAGGCGGAGAGCGCGGCATTCTCGCGTACCAAACAGCTGTTGGTGCAAGCGCCGCGCCTCGCATACTACGACGTGAACCTGCCGCTCGCACTCTCTGTGGGCGCTAGCCCGTACGGGCTCGGAGCTGTGCTGTCAGTGATCAACGGTTCGGGAATGGAACGCCCGGTGGGGTATGCATCGCGGAGCCTGGCAGCCGCGGGGGTCAACTACAGCCAGTTGGACAAAGAAGGGCTGGCGGTGGTCTCCGGAGTGAAAAAGTTTCACCAGTTCGTGTGTGGCCGGCACTTCACCATACAAACGGACCAAAAGCCCCTCCTGGGCCTCCTAAGCAGTGGCAAGCCGCCACCGCTCAAGGTGTCGCCCAGAGTAGCCAGGTGGCGCTTCGCACTGCAGGCGTACCAGTATAAGCTGATGTACGCCCCCTCAGCTCCGCAGGCAAACAGCGATGGACTGAGCCGCCTGCCACTGGCTGGCCAGTGTTCCGGATCCCGCAGACATCGTCTGTCTTCTGGAGTCAATGGACCAGCTCATTCGTGTTGATCGGATCCGCCGGTGTCGAGCCGTGACCCAGTCTTGTCACGTGCTTATCAAGCAGCCATGGACGGCTGCTGGACGGTGCCGGCAGCTGATGGAATGGAGCCATCTCGAAGCGCCGTCTCGAACCCAGCGTTCAAAATGGCACCCTTCTCTGGAGAAACCGCATCGTGGTGCCCTCTGCTCTGCGGAAGGCGATGTTCTCGCTCCTGCACCAGGGATACCCTGGCGTCGTGGCGATGAAGTCAAAGGCACGCGCGCACGTTTGGTGGCCCGGCATGGACGCAGCCATCGAGTCGACCGTGAGAAGCTGCCATGCCTGTCAGCTGAACCGGCCCCAGGCCTCCCAGGTGGCGGAGAGCCCATGGCCGTACTCGGAGGCACCGTGGGACCGTCTGCACATGGACTATGTGGGGCCGGTCGATGGGGCGATGATTCAGGTCATCGTGGACGCCTACTCAAAGTGGATATCGGTGTATCCCACGACGGCGTCTACAGCAGAGGCGACGATCGAACGGTTGCGGATAGCCTTCTCAGAGCATGGTGTGCCACGTGTGGTGGTGAGCGATAACGCGGCAGTATTCACCGGTGACAAGCTCCGTCACTTTCTCACCGATAATGGCGTGCAACATGTGTTCTCCCCTCCTCTGCACCCGAAGTCCTATGGTCAGGGCGAGAGTGCAGTCAAAGTGATCAAAACCGGTCTGAAGCAGCAGAGTGCTGGGTCGCTGCAGATGCGCCTGAGTCCGGTCCTGTTTCAGTGTCGGACCACTCATCACTCGACCACTGGCGTGTCACCCGCGGAGCTGCCGCACGGCCGCCCGCTGGCCACTCACCCGTCCCGGCTGTCGCCAGACTCCGCCCTGCTCGAGCGTGTCCGCACCAAACAAGAGGGTCAAACACTGACGAACAACCGGCACTCGACCGCGGTGCGGCAGCTCGAGACTGGCGACCCGGTGTACGTGTTTGCGGTCGGCCAGCGGCCCTGGCAGCCGGCGGTGGTGGTGGCGGCATCGGGCCGTCAGCGTGACGTCCGGCTGCCGGACGGCCGCTGCTTCCGGCGACACGCTGATCACCTGCGGGCTCGGTCGCCGGACAGCCCGTTGGTCGATAGTGGGATGGCAGTTCCCGTTCCGGAGTGTCCTGTGTCGCCGGCGGCGGCCACAGCGGAGCGGGCGAGTCCCGGCTCTCCTGACAGAGGCGTGCGACCTTGCTCTCCCTTTGCAGCCCTGCGCCGGTCGGGTCGCGAGCGTGTGGTACCCGCTCGTTATCAGTAACGGTTACATCGCCATGTCGGATGGTCGGACGCACTGTCAGTTGTGTGTTATTAAAAAGACTACCTAAATCTCGTCAATCGACTGATGTCTATGAACTTAGTTGTGCTTCGTGAGAGGCATCATATAAATATTTTTTCCTCCGAAACTTGCACAGCCGTATTCAGCAATATGCGAGCAATATATCCAGACGAGAAAATTCCTCGCCACCATGACTCCTCTCCTATAGCAGGACATTCGCATCCATGTGATGCTCCAGCTTACCTGATAAATTTGATATACCTACTAAGAAGTGCGTATGCCGCGTTAGGTGTCAGAATCTGAAAGTCGCTATTTCCTTGTAGAAATCGACCGTCAGTAGATAACAGGCCAATGTCATACCCATTAGGAGTGGCGATGGGGTGAAATGGATTTTCAGCTGTGGAGTAGGAGCATGCAAAACTACGCACATATATATATATATATATATATATATATATATATATATATATATATATATATATGTGTGTGTGTGTGTGTGTGTGTGTGTGTGTGTGTGTGTGTGTGTGTGTGTGTGCTTGTACGAGTGCGTGTACGTGTGCGTGAGTGTTTGTGTGTCCAGTTGCTGGGAAAGAACCACGTAACATGGCATGTGCCTCTTTTATTCAAGCTAAAATGTAACTTGCAGCTGGATCTCAGTTGTAATTGCTTGCTTCTACACAAAATAAAGTAAAATAGAATGCTCCGGAAGGAAATATCTGCAACGACCTGGAGGATCCGCTCAGTGCTACTCCTGGAGGCGCCCTACTGATGGTTCTTTGGGTGCCTCCATCAACATGGTCGCCGAAACTTGCGTTCTGGCTACCTCGGCTTGGTCAGGACGCCAGGCTAGTTGTACCTCACAGTTAACTATCGTATGTGCGATATCCAGACCCTGCATAACCTCTGCCATGTACTCATAGTGGCCCTAATGGAAGTTTCTCTTGAGCATTTCTTCCTCCGCAAGTGCGGAGTAATACACGATGTTGAATCTTGAACATCGGTAATGACTGTTTCCCCACTGGAGAAGCATGCCCCAGCTCTGGTATCGTTCTTTCTTCCACTGAAAACGCAAGGTCTGTTGTGCTTGGCTTACATCCTGGGATGAGACGAGTTGGTGAAGAGACGTGCTAAATCAGAAAAAAATTCTCACCCCCGAGAGGAGCTTCCGGGTGCAATGCTGCCACAAAATGAGGTTCTCCAGGGAAGTCGCCGGCAGGGTGCCACAAAACGACGTTCTCCAGGGAAGTCGCCGGCAAGCTGCCACAACTGACGTTCTCCAGGGAAGTCGCCGGCAAACTGCCACAAAATGACGTTCTCCAGGGAAGCCGCCGGCAGGCTGCCACAAAATGACGTTTTCCAGGGAAGCCTCCGGCAGGCTGCCATAAAATGACGTTCTCCAGGGAAGTCGCCGGCAAGTTGCCACAACTGACGTTCTCCAGGGAAGTCGCCGGCAAGCTGCCACAAAATGACGTTCTCCAGGGAAGTCGCTGGCAAGCCGCCACAAAGTGAACGACAGCTACACTTTCCAAAAAAGCATGACAGGAAGAAAGAATCGAACTTCGAGTTATTAACACCAGGCTCGTAGCGTTAGTCTGACATTGGTACGCTGAGCGCGAAG